AAATATTTCAGACACACAGCAATCAATTTAACAGTTTCTAAAAATTATCCAAAGATCAGTGTAGGGGGGAATCCCCAAATTCTCAATTTCAGAAACAAAGGATTAGTTACAGATAACAGAATCCACTTATTCCAGTTTAAGGAGAAAGGAATTTAGTAAGCAGTATTGGGACCTTACAGAATTTCTTGAAGGGCCAGTAAACAAAGCTTGGATCTATGCAGCCAGATAGAACACAGCTTGGAGTGATATCCTACTACCCACAAAACTACTGTCGTGCAAACTCCACAGCAGCCTTCCTGTACCACTCAGCATATGTGACACTAAAGACTATACATTCAAACCTCTGTGCCTCCTAGAACCAAAGAGCCAAACATCCCTGTTGCCATGTCAGCCAGGAGAATTAATCCACACACCTGCAGCTACCATCTCCTGTTGCTCACTTACTCCTTCTGAGTCTTACGTGAATGTATTTCCTTGGCAAAACTAGTTCTAACGTAAAATCCAGCTACAAGAGGGCCCTGGAAATGTTTTAGCTGTTTCATCTCTTTGGTTCAAAAAAGTACATGAAAAGTGGGACAGTTTGCAAATAAGTGAATCAAACTCCAATTCTGCAGCAGTCCACCCTTCTTGCTACTCAACATACATGAACACTCATAACTGAATTAAAGCGTCCGTCTCTGGGTGCCACTCATTTCTCTTCTACCCCAGGGACAATCCCATCTTGATATCCTAAAATCTCAGATAAATTATAAAGTCAACTACCACTAATCCACCATATATTAAAAGCCAGGCGATTACTATTTGGCAATAAAAAGGAATGAGCTATTGACATACCTTATAAGTTGGATTGATCTCATAGGCATCAAGCTAAGGAAAGAAGCCAGTCTGAAAAGCATGCATACTGTATGATTCCATTTATATGACACTGCCAAAAAGACTAAACTCTCATGATAGAAATCAAATTAGTGTTTATCAGAGGTTAGGCCACATGGTAGGGAAGTGTGACTACAAAAGGATAACATAGGAGGAATTTGGGAGGGTGGTGATGAAATTGTTTTGTATGTTAATCGTAATGGTGGTCACACAAATCTATATATGCATTTAAAGTCAGAGAACTGTACAGCAAAAGTCAATTTTACTGTATGTTCATTTAAAAATTCATCATTTTTAAAAGTAGTACAACAAATACTAAAATTATCAGCCCCTAAAACTGACAGTATGTTAGGTTTTATAGACATCAAATATTTAGTAATTTTGAAAAAACAGGGAAACAAAATAAAAAACTAGTATATTATTTTATACATAGAAGAACAAGGAAGAAAATATAGAGACAATAATTTTCATTTCTGCAATTGCTTCTGAAATTATCTTTGGTATTGATAACTTTTTTCCTAAAAGTTCCCTTTGTGCTCAGGCAACACCTCACATGGTCATGATTCTTTGGCTAGTGGGCTAATCCAAAGCTCGATTCCTGAGTGGTCTGAACCTTGGTGATCCTGGCTATCTGGGGTTGCTGCAGTCTGCCAGCAACTTTTAGCACTGGATTATTACAATGCTAGGAGGCACTCCAGAGGAATCCCTGAGCTTCATCTTAGAAAATTATAGTAAACCACTACAGTTGACTTTTTCCTTCCTGCTCCACTGGCAAAGGAACTCAAGAAGCCAAATGATAGTCTCAACATCCCAACTTCCAGTTCAATTGCCTTCCCTGGTGGGATATTTATCCAGTGAAGACTAAGACCTCCAAAGTAGCAAGACTTGGACTTGAGAAGGAAACTTTTGTGCTTCGATCATTCAGTGTATAGTGAGAAATACTACCCATACTTTACTCAACTTCTGGACCTGGTTTGTGGAGAAACAGCATCATATATTAGTCACTAGTTCAGAGAATATACTTCATCCCAAAGGATACCACCCTAATGCTCAAAGGTATTATTTCCCAGCTGACACAGTAAATTGGTTGCTTGGGTCATTCTGCTATGCCATAAGCCAGGTGCTCTGGAGTGAAGTTTTTATGGAAATACCAGTGAACCCCAAGAGCACTGACCTTAATTATTTTCTATGAAATGAGTTTCTTGATTGAAAACAATATTCTGTGAGAAAACATGATGTAATAAGGCATGATGTATCTAAGGCATTAAGTCAACAGCATAATGGCCTGGGAGAAAAAAACATAACCAGATTGTGTTTATTCCAGTGGGGACAAAAGACCGTTCACTCAGTAGTGGAGAGGAACCAATATAATCAACCAGAGGGTAGGCTGGCTCCCTCATTATATTACATAAAATCAAGAGCTCCCTATTGGTCTCTACTGCTGGCTGATTGGCATTTAGCCATAGTGGGAGAGCCAGGTCAAGCTTGGAGAGAGGCAATCAATTTTTTTATAGAGGCATATGCAATCATCATCACTGCTATGATGGGCCATTGTTTATGAGCTCACTGACGCAGTAATATCACCAGGGAAAGAAGCTGACTGCATCAGCAGGGTGAGTCATCTGGCTCACCTGGTTATTGAACATTTGGTGAAAATTCACATGCGACATTAAGATTCCACATGCTGCACCCATTTCAAGAGATTCATTCATATAATTCTTCCCCAATCATCCTTATCAGCAAGATTCCAATCCCTTTCTTTCCCACCTCCTTTACTGGATGGCCAAACCTTTAGCTGTTACCCATGAGGTGATATAGATCTGACATCATGTCAACTTCCTGGTAAAGTTCACCATAAGGTTGTACCCACTGGAGGATTTTCTCACATTGTCCTTCTGAGCCACTCACAATTTATTTGTTAATTGATATAAAAGCAGAGGGCTAGCCCTTGAGTTTTTTTAAACACGTAATTCTAAGGCCAAGAGGCATGAACTAAAAATCAAAGAAAAATTAAACCACTTGGAAGCAGAATACTGTGAATGAAATACTAAATGTCAATGCAATTTTTTCCTTATGACATACATAGTTCAAAGAACCTCCTGCAATAAAAAGCTTATCTGTGAACTGTATACTCAAATCTACATGCCTATTAGCTAACACTGATATTACCTGCGACAGGAGCATTGCTGGCAACTACAGCTGAGCCATCTGAAATCCTGTGACCTGACAATTCTTTAATCATTTTATCCACTTCCCTATTTTAAAAGAAACACAAGTCTGATTGGCACGCACAGATTCCGCAAATCCATTTACCCAGATACATCAGATAAGGAACAGTGAAGGAAATAAATTTTAGCCCTTTAAGGTCAGGGGTATGCAATTCTTATTTAGTGTGAGAGGCTTCAGTCAAACAATTTTGACGAACAGACCAGGTGACTGAATGCAGATTTTTTTAAAGGTTTTAAAATGTTAAGCACCGTAAAGAATTCAACAGATGAACCTCAGGAAAGTATTGGCCTTTAAAGATCACTGAGCCAAATCCCATCGCAAATCCCTGAATCCTCTCAGCATCTCTCCCTCAAATAACTTTTCAGACTTAAAAAAAAAAAATACTTCCGTGACTGAGAAATCACTATCTTCCCAGGCAGCCACGCTACAGTAAGAAAGCGTCTTCAGGGGAAAAAAAAATCTGTCTCATTGTCTCAGTTCTAACTCTGGGACCCAAACAGAGCAAACCCCATTCCTCTTCCAGTGACGACCCTTCAGATAGCTGCTTCTATCATAATTGTCTCTGGATAACGTCTCCAGCTTCTTCCATCATTTTTCACATGATTTGATTTTACATTCACCTCAATTTTTCGATACTCCTCTTAAAAGTATACATTGAGACTGAAGTAACAGCATAGATTTAGTCTATAACAGAGTAGAGTAGAAGCATAATTTCCCATGTCCTAGAGAACTTATAGTTTATTTTTTTCAGTTTAATGTCCAAGTGGATTTTTTGGATGTTGCACTAATATTCACTGTAATTGCTCATTAGGAGCTTACTCTGTGCCAAGCACCTTGAAAAGGGCCTCACGTGTATCCTCTCATTTAATTCTGATGACAATCACCTGTTAGGTAGGTGCTATTTTTTTTTTTTTTTTGAGGAAAATGAGCCTAAGAAAGAATAAGTACCTTGCCCAAGATCAAATACCCAATAAGCGGCAGTATCTGGATCCTCTCCAGGATTTTTGGAAAAGTATTAGCACCTACTGAACACTTACTATATGCCAGCACTGCGTTGAATCCTTACCGCCAACTGTTAAGTAGCTAGTATTATTAATCCTAATTTCCCTGTGTGTATTATATTTTACACACAGGGAAACCGAGGCTTAAAGAGGTATAACAAAATGGTTAGAAATGAAGAACTAGCTTGTCTGAACAAGTTCACTGAATACAGCCAGGTGCAGGACGTTATACTTAGCCCTTATAAAAATTAATCTTACTGGACTCAGTCCATTACTCTACTCTGTCAAAATTGTTTAGAGATACCGATTTGATCTGAAGGATTTTTATCACTGCTACATTTTCACAACTGCAAGTCTTATAGGAAAGTGTTCCATGCGTTCCAGTTATCAGCAAATTACACTGCATAGAAGGAGGCCTAGGAACAAGTCATCCACAAACCATGAGAAACTTCTTTCCAGATGCCATCAGTGCACTCACCAGACAGCACTGGCCAGTCATTCAACCTTTAATACACCATCTAATCTAGGCCATATCACTCCATTTTGTCCACAAGAATACATTTTGTTAAGTGTCCTACTGAAAAATTGATTTGGCATCCCAGGCGAAATTTAACAACCCTATCAAAAGAGAATATCATAAAAAGAATATATGTTTGTACACATACAACTGAGACATTATGCTGTAACCAAGAACTGACACAATATTGTAAACTGACTACACTTCAATCAAAAATTAAATTAAAACAGAATATCATATTAGTGTGAAGTAATTTAGAGATAGTGAATCTACCTTCAATCTTAGTGATTACCATCTAAATATTTGTTTTTGGAAACAAAACACTAAATTAAATATATTTTAAGTTGTTTTCACGCTCACAGTACACTATTTTTACTCACGTAATTGGAGATAGCACTTCCTGTGTCATCAAAATGATCTTTGAGTTCCAGTGGCTCGCCACTCATTCTTCTGAGTTGATTTTGAGTCTTTTGAGTTGACTTTTATAATCCATGCTTGTGATCTTGACCTCTTGGGCAGCTTTAAGATTGACAGTATAATTTTAGGGCTTTGTTTGCATTTCCTATTTGGTTAAGCTGATAGTTTTACTTTTTCCTTAACTGAATTACCCATAAACTGTAAGTAAATTACCTTCTCTTGAAAGTCATCCAGAAACTTTTGATAAATAAATACAGTTTACCCATAAACTGTAAGTAAATTACCTTCTCTTGAAAGTCATCCAGAAACTTTTGATAAGGTGCTTGGCACCTTAGTAACAATCCTTTAAGGCCACAAATCTGTCATACAACCTTTCCTGGCTTTGAAATCTCATAATATATTCAATAGATTTGGCAATTTTCTGCTACCTTTGATTTCATTGCTTGGCACTTAATAGTCCTTCTTTGTATAAAATAACGTTTCCTTTTAGTTCTATATTACACTGTGATCTCTTTAAAACATTTGAAGCAACATTATAGATCAAACTTAAGTTAATTCAACCATCTGAACGCTACCACATATGATTGTACTGTTATTCACAAAGATAATAACCACTAAGAAGCACAGGAATTGGGGCATGTTTCTTTCAACACTGGAAACACCCAGATTTCAAACATGTCAAAATGTGAAAAATACGTAACTCTGATAATTGAAGAAAAATAATATGCTAATTATTGAGTTTCTGTTACAAGTTGTGCCCATATTTTTCAAAGCAGTATAAAACTGAGAATTTTCAACAGTATTTTCCTGTCTTCTACAACCATCTACAACCTATAACAAGAGATAAAGTTGTTTGATTAGGAAATAATAAAGGTCAGATATCTGTCTAATATTATGAAATGCTTTGTTCAAGATATTTTGTATTTTTAACTGAATACCAAATTTCCCCACATATTTTTTGTAAATCTAGTGTTCTGCCACAATTAGTTTCATTTTCAATGTATTTGTAGAACTATTACCCCTCTGAGAGATACAAAAGGTCACTTCCCTTTTCTAAAACACAGAATTATTCAACAGAGCTTAATAATTGCACTGCTAATGTAATTCTTACTATACCTCAGAGAGAGAATTCTCCTTGATATAGATTCAAACCAAGTTTCGTTTGTAATGTTAATATATTTTGCCTAAGAAAGCCTCAGCTATGTCACTTCCCCACATACTGGCTAGATCCTAATGAGGTTTTGGTACTAGAGTGGAGAAAGACACATATTCTCATTTTTCATCTCAGTTCAGAAATAAAACTTACATTAGCCATTTGTAGTATGCCTATTAGTGTCCCTTTGATAATTTTCTGATCCTTAGCATTTGTAAAGTAGACCTTGAATTTTGATACCACAAATCCTGTTTGACAGTTAATGATTCTTTTTCTTATTAATAAAATGGGGTGGCCTAAGAAATTTATAGAGATGCTCTGTTAAACTAATATTATAACTTAAAAAATAAGATTAAATGACCAAGACTATTTGGGCAAGGACCAGCCCAGTTCTTCCTCTTTAAAATGAGGGGGGAAATCTGTTTCTAAATATTGTACCCCCAGGGTTACCACTCAGGCTTGAATCTTACTCAAGGAAGGAAAAATCAAGTCGTGGTTTCAAACTAATTCAAAAAATAAATACATTTTTTTCTAAGCAATGGAAGAAAGTAATTACATAAACACCACCAAGCCATCGTCAGAAATGGAGATTATTCATATCAGAAACCCTGAATAGAACACTGACATTTTACTTGTTTCATACCTCCATACTTCATCCCATTCTCGTTTACCCCTGTTTATAATTGCTAGAGTTTGCTAAGTCTACTTTCTACTATCAGTCTCCCATTAATGACACATTGTAGACTGTATAAAGTTGAGACGTTTATGCATCTATTACTAACTCTCAATCCCCTTACTAAGTGAAGCTCATATCACATGGCTTCAAATTCATAGCCCTTCTTGGTCTGGCCTCAGGCTACCTTTCCATTCTTCTCATTAACCATTTCCTTAAAACCATCTCTGAT